TATAAACAATTACTGGCAATATGGCTAAGAATAGAAAATATATGCAAAAAAAATATCCTTACAGTGGTAAGTCATAAGATTTTAGAGAAGGATGGTCCTTAAATTCAGTTTCATAAAAATGGTAAAAAATTTGAGACACCATCCCACCAATGACGAGATCCCCAGGCTGGAACCACTCATGTGGAACAGGGAAAGCATCACTTGCAGGGCATCTCAGAGTAACTACTTTGTGTACCAAGAAAATCAGAAAGAATAACATCTTTATTATATTGTTTTGGATGTCTGGGTCTATTGTTCAAAGATAAGTTCTGGCAGATAATACAGGAGGGAAATAACTTGTGGAAATGAATCTCATAAAGTCATCATTACCCTTTGCTACCTCCACATGGCTCTAGTAATATTTATATGAATTGTTTCTCAATTCCTATTCCCTTCTGCACAGAACATTTGATATTTTCACCTGCTAAAATAATAGAGTGATTTCAGTAATTCATAAGTGTCATAATTACCTTTGGAATATTGGCAACCTGGCAATTGTTCTTTGTATATCTGATTAAAATCTTTTTTTTGGATGTCCTAATAAGTGACTGAAGTTTAACCTGTTTTGAAAATAAGTGGAAGATGTTTGGGAAAATGGACTTTGGTGAGAATGTTATTAAATGGATAATTGATAGCATACAAAGGCCAAAGATAATTGGAAATGGAAGATTAACAAAACATTGTGAGGTAAAGAAAGGAAAAAGTCAATAATATTGCCTTTCCTCACTATTAATTATGTTAACTTTGGAAATATTGAAATGAGAGAATTGCTGAAGTGAGGGTTAAAAGATAAATAGTAGATTATGGGTCTTTTATGATGATTTGATTCTCGTTTTGAAGATCTTTTATAAGGAACAGAAATATTAATGGAAGATTAAAACCTTTTGGCACAGCCAGTTTTATAGTTAACAGCCATACAACAATAATGTTAACAAAAATATGAAAATAGAATATCATATGAAACTATTTGGAAAATTCTGGTGTTAATGTTGAGAAAAAAGTAAAATATTTACGTATTACTATGTCTAATATGAATTGTATGTTATTTCAGAACACTTAAGACATGGAATGAAATTAAAAAAAACATTCTAAGATGGGAAGAATTACATCTGTCAGTGTAGGCACAAATATCTGGTACAAGAAAAAATGAAGTTATTGCCTAGGAGAATGTTTTTGTTTCAAAACATTTCCAATGAATTTGGAAAATATAGTGGATTGCATATAAATTGGGAAAAATCAGAAATGATGTTATATAATTATAGTAAAGAAGAAATGGATGTATTGAAAGAAAAATATAAATTAAAAATATTAGATAGTATCAAATATTTAGGTATTGACATCCCAAAAAATATTCAAGAATTAAAGAAGATAAATTATGAGAAGTTAAAGAAAGATATAAAAGATAAAATGGATAAATATGGAAAAGTAAAATTATCATGGTGTGGAAGAATTGAAGCAATAAAAATGAATGTTTTACCAAAAAATTAACTTTTTTTTTTGGATGATCCCAATTAAGTTTTCTGATCAAGAATTAAAGGAAATACAGAGATTGCTGGAGGTGTATTGTAATGGAGACAAGAGAGCAAGAATGAGTAAAGCTTTATGGTATGAACCATTAAAAAAGGATGGGCTTGGTCTTCCAAATGTTAGAAATTATTGGGTAGCTAATCAATTAAGGATGGTCCCAGATAGAGATTTATTATGGAGTGATATAGAATTGAAGGACTTAAGGGAAATAGGCGATCCTATAGAAACATATTGGTTTAAAAAAAATATTAAAAATTGTTAAGAGAATTCAAAATCCCCTTTTTTAAAAAACTGATAGAATTATGGGATAAATGCAGATACCGGTTAATGCCAGGAATTTTTCCTTTAATACCGGTAGTAGAAATGGAGAAATTCCCTAAGATTCAGCTGAAAGATTGGATTAGTAAATTAGATTTAACCAATTTAACTTAATATCTGATAAACTAAAGAATGTTTTATCAGATATTAAGTTAAATTGGTTAAATCTAATACAATTAGAGAAGTGGATAAAAATGGAAGAAAAATTTGAGGAGAAAGATAGACAGTTAACAAAATTTGAAATGATCACATTACTGTTACTCGTGGAAAAACAAGATATGAATGCATTGTCTAGATTAGAAGAATCTTTTTGTTTCAAATTATATATATTTTGACTATCCACATATTATTTAAGTAATGCAGAAAGATATATATCTGAGACTCATAATGCAAACCGGTAAAATATAGAGTCCTCCAACATGCAAATAAATGAAGAGGATCAGGTTTGCCTCATTTAAAATTTATTTTGCGCTACTGAAAATGCCCTTATGGGTCACAGCCCAAGAACCATTTTATAGCAGAAGAAATAGCAGATAAAGAAAAATGGTTAACCTATAGAGAGTTGGTAGAACAAGAACATGAAGAATATAGCAATAGCATTAGCAATAGCACTTAGTTTTATAGATCACTTCATAGTGCTTTACAGCCCTGTCTAAGCATTTTACAAAATCAACATATTGCCCCCAACAATCTGGATCCTCATTTTACTGGCCTTCGAATGATAGAAGGCTGTTTAAGCAAGTTAGGATCAAACTCCTGGCAGTGGGCAGAGTCAGCCTGCAATACTGCATTCTAACCACTGCACCATCATGTCTGTTAAATTGAAATTAATAAAACAACTGACTGAAGAATGTCTACAGAGATTCTCAGTCCAGTTCCCTTTTGAAAAAGCACCTTTGGGACAACTGACTGAAGAGCGATTTGGTTTTGAATATTGAGTCCTTGGTGCTCTCTGAAATAGGTTATTTGGTTGCAGCCTTTTCATTACCTGACTAGGGATAACATCATGGGAAACCTTTGAAAACCATTAGTTTTTAATGGTTTCCACAGGCACGGCATATGACATGAATGACAAGAGCTTTGCACCATGAAACAGATGGTTTTGAATTTGTTGTTATCAGTAGATGTAGAAGATATGTTTATTTTAAAGAGGAACATTTGCATATTCCATATCAGTGGATGTAAATCTCCTATTGGCAGATCCCAAAACAACTTGTCCATTTTATGTTCCATGCTATGTTTCAATTTTCATCTTCTTCCTTTCTGTTTCCTTTACTAAAAGAAGATACAGGTAGTCCTTGACTTGCAACCATTTTTAGTGACCATTTAAAATTACTACAGTGAAAAAAAATGCCTTACAACTGATCCTCACACTTACAACCATTACAGCATCTCCACAGTCATGTGATCAAATTTTAGGTACTTGGTAACTGACATGTCTGTATAATTGTTGTAGCATCCAAGAGCATCCCAGTTCAACATTTTTGACCTTAGTCTAATGGCTGAGTGATTCACTTAAGTGTAGTGAGTTGTTCTACCACATTGGCAAAAAAGGTTGTAAAATTGACTCACTTAATAACTGCCTTTTTTCGAAGAAGTATTCTGGTTTCAATTGTGGTTGTAAGCCAAGGACAATCTATAATTATGTATCTATTACTGCTGTTATTGTGTAATATTTCAGTGACTGGGCTATTGGTTTGATCTCCAAGCTTGGCAATTTGGCTGAAAACATTTCATCTCCATTTGGGGGGGAATCTTCAGTACACTTTGAATTGTGCTCATCTGTCAGAGCACCGGCCTATAAATACCTTCTTGTGTGATGCAAATTGGTGTGGATGTTGTTTATCCAGGTGTTGCTGAGTCATGGTCTGATTTCTGGCTGTTTGATTGGCTGGTTGTGTTGTTGGGCCATAGTCTTTGATGTAAAGTATCGTCTATGTGATGCAAATGGTGGTGTTCGTTCAGTTGCTTCTGTGTAAAATGGTCTGGGTCGATGTCAATGTATCTGTTTATTATCTTATTAGTGGAAAACCAGGCTTTGAGGAATTCTCTTTCTCTCCTTGATTTCACATGGATTACAACTGTGGTCCCAGTTAGATCAAATTTGTGTCCTTCTGAGTTTTTGTGGACGGACATGAGGGAAAGTGGGTCATGTCTTTTGATGGCCAGGAAGTGTTCATGTAGTCTGGTTGATAGCTTTCTTCCTGTTTGGCCTATTTTCACAGTTGCATTATTGGCTGAAAAAAAACCTATGTGGGCAAAACAGGAAGAAAGCTATCAACCAGATGGCATGAACAGTTATTTTCTAACTATTATAGTGTATTTTTGTTTATTATTTTAATATGTTTTGTGGGTCTGTGATCTGCAAAGTCATTTATTCACTCTTCCAATAAAAAATGTATGTTTGTATTGGATACCAGATTGGGGAAGTTTGCTTCTTCCTATAAATGTATTTAATTGATATTTCTGGACAATGATTATAGTAAAGTTTTAAACTGAGTTTATTTCTATGAGTTGACTCGTAATACATTGAGTACAATTCAATGTATTTATTATCATTCCCTATGCTTAATGACTTCCACAGAAATACACGGCTATATCAAATTGCTGATTTTTCACCTGCAGGTATAGCATTCTTGTGTTATCTCTGAAGATAGTAAATCTTCCTGTTCATGTTTTGCTTTAGTTCTGGTGGCTTTGGTTATCAAATATGAAGTTACATAATTATTGTATTATAAACATGAGTGGAGAAGTAACATATGAGGGAATTACTATCATTTAGTATATGTGTAAATATTTAATAAGAAATATTTTTAATAAATAATTGTTTGGAAAGACTTGCCTCCTCTTTTTAAATATATTTTTATATGATCCAGATTGGCAGATTGGTTTGTCCTGTAAAGGTGATGTATTTATTTACTTCTTTGGACAATGATTGTAAATGGAATAGCATGAGCATTCCTTTTGGAATAGGCAAACATAATAAGTCTTAATAACAATCATAATCCTCCATAAGTTGTCCTTTCACAGAAATTAAAACTATATGTATACAGGAGATAGCAAACAGTTTTTTAATTGTCAGCAATTTTGCATAGTGAGAAAACTCACATGATGTACTAAGTACTCTTTATTAGTTGCTCTCTCTGGTTTAGCTCAGGCCTAAAAACAATGATGTAGCATTTTGGCAAAAATATGCATCCCAGTAATGCAGAGCTGGAGGCCAAAATGGAGAAGACCTCCACAGCTACCATGACTTTGCCTTTTGTGCTCAGGTAGGCTGGAAAGAAGGAGACCCACACACTGCAAAAGGCCAACATGCTGAAGGTGATGAACTTGGCTTCGTTAAAGCTGTCAGGTAATTTGCGGGCAAGAAAAGCCACAATAAAGCTGGAAATAGCCAAGATACCCATGTAGCCCAAGACACAATAGAAGAATGTAGCTGACCCCTCGTTGCATTGTAAAATGATTTCTTGTGACTCTGAGTACAGGTCCATCTCAGGGAATGGGGGAGATGTTGACAGCCAAATAATACAAATACATACTTGGATGATGGAGCAGGAAAAGACAGTAGAAAAAGCTAATCTTTTTCCAACCCATTTTCTTATCTGAGATCCTGGTTTAGTGGCCATAAAAGCCACAATCACAGTGATGGTTTTGGCCAGTACACTAGAAATGGCCACTGAGAAGGTGATGCCAAAAGTTGGTTGTCGAAGAAGGCAGGTCACTTTGCCAGGCTGGCTGAGGAACAACAACGAGGAGAGAAAACAGATCAGAAGAGAGATAAGGAGGGTGTAGGTAAGGGACCGGTTGTTGGCTTTGACAATGGGAGTATCCCGGTGCTTAATAAATATTCCAAGTGCCCAAGATGTCAAGAAGAAGAAATAAAGAGCAGCTGAGGCTAAACCAGTTCCTAAGCTTTCTTCAAAAGTTAGAAAGACCATCATTTTTAAGAGACATCCTTTCATTTCTTTATTTGGATAATGATCTTCTGAACATTCAAAACAGTTATCCATATCTGGAAAGAAAAGTTAAGAATTTGTCATCTATGCAATCCATATTTTTGAAAATCATAGTGAATGACTGTTGTGATTTACTTTGAGTTCTTTCCGTGATCATTTGTCTGTGAAAATGCAGATTTTCATCTACTTTATCATTTAGAATTCATAAGTACAGTGGGAAGGGCAATTATACTTTGAAATCAATAAAGACCATATTTAATTTTATGATTTTTCCAAAGCATAGAGAAGAAAACTGTTATGTTTGTAAGAGAAACAGAAGTATTAACTCTGAAGTACAAATCTATATAATTCATTTAACCTCTTTAGTTTTTAAACTCTAAAATGTGAGTAAGCTAAAGAAACATTAGTCTTTTTTATTTTAAAATGTTGGGTCCAAAAAAGAAAACAAATCACCTACCTTTACCATAAAGACAAAATATTAGTCTAAACTCTAGCCCAATCTTTAGTATGCTTTGGTGTTCTATGTGGAAAACATTAGTTGGTTCTACATACACCCACTCTATATCCCTTTGAGGTTGGAATATTTAACCCATTCACAAATCTTTCTTGGTTTGATGAATATCCTTTGGTTTCTCTCAATTTCAGGTTTTTGTGGCAGATAAGATCCAGAAAATGAGATCAAGTGAGAAAATGTCTCGTTCATTCATGGTTAAACTGACCTGAGTCTATCAAACAGTTATTGTTGAATTTTATGCTATCATTTGTAAAACAAAAACAAAAACCTGTCATTGTTTATTTAAATTTGAAGTAGAGGTTGTCTTTGAAAAGTGGAGACTAGTGGTCCTGAAATCATACTTAAATATGGGCCAAACCCAAAAAATTAAAAGGGTTTTGAATTAAATCAATGTCCATAGGCTCAAATGATATGTTCATGTGGGATTTTCTCCTAAGATTCATCTTATTTGCTCTTCCTTATTTCCAGGACCCTTTTTCTGTAAATTCCAAGTTACTCTATGAATTCTAAATAGCTTTGTAACTTCCCATTCAAATACTTGGTGTTCTAACCATGATGGCACAGTGGTTAGAATACAGTATTGCAGGCTAATTCAGCACTTTGGCAGTCTGATTGTCACCATCTCAAGATTGACTCAGCCTTCCATCCTTCTGAGGTTGGTAAAATGAGGACCCAGATTGTCGGGGGCAATAGGCTGACTCTGTAAACATGCTTAGAGAGGGCTGTAAGGCACTGTGAAATGATACATAAGTCTAAGTGCTAGTTTATTGCTATTTATTAGATCAGACATTACTTAGCTTGACTTACAATGATTAGACTGCTATGAAGATGACATCATAAGATAGGAGCACCAAAAAAGAATGTTTGCAAAAAGGCTTAATATATCCTTACAAAAATTGTATTTTTTTTTAACTTTTGAACAACAGCAATAGCAATAGAACTTAGACTTATATACTGTTTCACAGTACTTTATAGCCCTATCCAAGCAGTTTATGGAATCAGCCTATTGGCCCCCAACAATCTATGTCCTCATTTTACCAACCTCGGAAAGATGAAAGGCTGAATCAACCTTGAGCCTGTGAGAATCGAACTCTGGCAGTTGGCAGAATTAGCCTGCAATACTACATTGTAACTACTGCCCCGCCATGGCTCAGTCTTTCCTATCAATTTTCTAACAATCTTAAGGAAAAGAACAGCAAATGCAAATGAGTTTGAAAATGTAAAAAGTACATAAATAGATAAGAGATCCTGTGATCACAAATGATCTATGGCTCAAGAGATATATATTTCAGGTCTGTTTTAGGGAAGACTACTTCTTAGAATCTTATAGGCAAACTTTGACTCCTGAACACCTGACTGTAATGTCTACAGAGATTCTCAGTCATCCAGGTAATAGTTGTCCAAAAGATGCTTTTTCACAAGGCAACTGGACTTTTTTGTTTTTTCCTTTGAAAATATAAATTACTTGGACTTCAGTAAGGCATTTGATAAAGTAGATCACAACCTACTACTCAATAAGATAGAAAAATGTGGGTTAGACAGCAGTACCACCAGATGGATTTGTAGCTGGCTGACCGGCCATACTCAGCGTGTGGTCCTCAATGGAACCGCATCTACATGGAGGGAAGTGTGTAGTGGGGTGCCCCAGGGCTCTATTCTAGGCCCAGTGCTCTTCAACATCTTCATCAATGATTTGGACGAGGGGATAGATGGGGAACTCATCAAATTTGCGGATGACACCATGAATAGCCAACACTGCAGAAGACAGGATTAAGATACAGGAGGATCTGGACAGACTTGAACACTTGGTGCTATCTAACAAAATGAAATTCAATGGTGAAAAAAGTAAGGTTCTACATTTAGGCAAGAAAAACCAAATGTACAGGTATAGTATAGGGGGTACCTTGCTCAATAGTAGTAACTGTGAGAGGGATCTCGGAGTCCTAGTGGACAATCACTTAAATATGAGCCAGCAGTGTGCTGCAGTTGCCAAAAAAGCCAACACAGTGCTGGGCTGCATTAACAGAGGGATAGAATCAAGATCACGTGAAGTATTAATACAATGCCTTAGTAAGGCCACACTTGGAATACTGCATCCAGTTTTGGTCACCACGATGTAAAAAAGATGCTGAGACTCTAGAAAGAGTACAGAGAAGAGCAACAAAGATGATTAGGGGACTGGAGGCTAAAACATATAAGGAATGGTTGCTTGAATTGGGTATGTCTAGTTTAACGAAGAGAAGGACGAGGGGGGACATGATAGCAGTGTTCCAATATCTCAGGGGCTGCCACAAAGAAGAGGGAACAAGCTATTCTACAAGGCGCCTGAAGGCAGGATGAGAAACAATGGATGGAAACTGATCAAGGAGAGAAGCAACTTAGAACTAAGGAGAAACTTCCTGACAGTTAGAACAATTAACCAATGGAACAACCTGCCTCCAGAAGCGGTGAATGCTCCAACACTGGAAGTTTTTAAGAAGAGACTGGACAGCCATTTGTCTGAAAAGGTGTAGGGTGCTTGCCTGAGCAGGGGGTTGGACTCAATGACCTCCAAGGTCCCTTCCAACTTTATTATTATTATTATTATTATTATTATTATTATTATTATTATTATTATTATTATTATTATTATAAAATGATATATCTCCAGTCTACAACACAGTCCTTTGAACAGTTCCAAGAAGGCTCCACACCTACTTGCACTACTCAAGTGACCCTGATGACACAGATATACCTCCAAATGGCCTCAATGACTCTCCAAAAGGATGCAAATGACCAGCTGTCTGCAAGGAGTATAAATCTTTCCATTCACCACCATCCAGTCAGAGCTGAAGAAGCTTCTTGGATGAGAAGTGAAATGTCTTCAAAAGAAAAACAAGAAAGTTGCCTGGTGAAAAAGCATCTTTGGGACAGCTGACTGTAATCCATAGGTGCACAAATGTACATTCAGCCTGAGGAATTTGTGAAACTATTAATTATATGCATCCTAAAGTAGTGCATTACAATCTGATTAAATCTATCTAATAAAACTTGATGAAATGTCTAACCTACCATTTTGATCTGAAATCTTCCCTTCTGGACATGGAACACAGTTGTAACAACAGAATTGTTTTCCTTCCATTCCTTTCTTCCAATATCCGGGGGAACAATGATTATTACACAGAGAAATTGGAACTACCTGGTCACAAACATGAAAGATTTGCAAAGGAGATTTTTAAAAAGAGTTTCTTATTCTTCTTCATTATAGCAGGTTGCAATAACTGACTTCCCAAAGGGCTACTCAATTTTATCAAATTTGATTTATAGAGATTCAACATCTTTTCAATTTATAATTCAATTTATAATTCAATTTATAATTCAATTTATAATTCAATTTATAATTCAATTTATAATTGCAAATATGTCAAAACTACAGGAATGTGCAACAGGACCTATTGAAGAAGGGCAGGGTGTATGATACAATCTTATGCAAACAATGTGATTCCTGCAATTTCATAAGGAAATGCAACCCAAATATGAAAGATTTTCTCATTGTAATGTCAATTTTGTAAATGCTTGAATATAGGGAGTATTTGTTCAGAATATGCCTTTCTCCTTTCAAAAACAGAAATTAGATTTATAAATTATATAGATTTATACAAAGACTGTTCAATATAACAAATACATCTTCATGATACCATAATGGATCACAACATAATCCATTAAATGTGCCCATACCTGATTAAAAGCAGGGTGCCAGACAATCCAATCTTCATCAATGAATAATTCTTTCCCTTTTGGAGCATTGGGATCTATTTTGCCAACTCTAACTCTCTGAAAGGATCTGTTTGGAAAAGTGATCAAGTTGGTGATGTCGAATCCTCCTGTTGCTGCCCCTTTCTCATTCAAGAAGACTCTCTCCCCAACTGAATTGTTAAAAGAAATGCCTTGAAGAAATGGATGGAGCTACTCCAAAAAGAATGAAAGATAGAGGGAATTGGAAGGAGTTAATAATGGAGGACAGACCACATTCAAATTCCATGTATTCTTCCCATTCTTGCAATAATGCTCAAATAACCATTGAGAAAATTGATAATCTATATTGCATGGAACTGCATAGGTCTTTTCTATAAATGATAGCAAAAATAAGTATTCATTCAAAGAAAAAATAGGTGTGGCAGGAAGCATTACCTGCCAAGGCTGCAGAGTTTGAAATTCAAACCATTGAGTTTCTTGTGGGGCTCTTGATCTCATTGCCTCATGCAAAGAATGTGCCACCACATAAACAGCATTGTAGATACTGTAGCTTTGTCCAGTCATCTGCATCTCAAACAGAGGAGCAGGCAGATTCTCCAAATTCTCTCCTCCACTGCAGGTTTCATTGGACATTGAGGGTAATTGTTCATTTGAAAGTGAACAGTCAAACAATTGCTCCCAAACCTCTTTAAGAAATCCATCCTTCTGCACTGAAGGTTTGATGACTTGAAGAATTTCTTTGAAGCCTTGAACTTCTCTTGAATGCACTGTAAAGGAAAGAGATCCATGGAACAACTGGACATCCCAAGCCCTTTGATGTCCTATTAGTGTGAAATCAATTGGATACATCAGGATCCAAACCTTCCTAAATAATGCACTCTCTTTATTTTCATAATCACGTAGAAACACAACAGTTCTGAGCCATACAATCGTGAATGATTCACCATAAACAAGAAAAACATTGGCCTTCTGATCTATCAGTTTATTAGAAATAATTGAGATTAGATCTAGAAATTCTGAAGGTTCTTCAAATGGGGCTTGTTGTGGAATCTTTTGTGTGAAGGCTAAACAGATCCCATTTTGGGAAAGCAATGGATGCATTTTCTGCAAAAAATGTTCTGCCTTATTCTTATCAAAAGTAAAGACTCCAATCCACGTCCATCCAAAATGGAGAAGAAGTTTGATAATTCCAATGTATTGATGGTCCTCTTTTGGCATCATGCAATAAAGTGAAGATAACTTAGTAGCCTGGAACTCTTCTTGAGCAACAGAACCATAGGTCAACTAATGAAATAAAGGAGAGCCATTATTCATAAGAATGAAGGAAAAATTTATGGAAACTGAATGAACTCTAATGGGTTCTAACTCCAAAGGTCTCCTGTTTTTGCACTGGGTTGGACTAGAAGACCCTCTATGTACCCTTCCAACTCTGTTATTCATTTGTTCTCTTATTTTCTTATTCTCTTAATGTTCATTACAAAAGAAGNAGAAGTTTCTCTCTTACTGCTCTCCCCCAAATTACCTGTGGAATCTTGAAGAGATTTATACTTTCTGCCATATAGGAAGAAGTAGAGGCATCTAACCCTCCAATGATGGCCATGAGATTCTTCTGGTTATCACATTTGTAGTTAGGAAAAAATCCCTTAGATTTGAAAAGCAGGTCCAGAGTGGTGCGATAGGTCATCCTTGGGTTGTAGTAACTGTCATAGATGTGGAACCCGAGAGTGACATTAGGTAAGATCTGGGAGTCCTCATTGATCTCCTTCACAGCAAAGGACAAAGCAAGGACATGCTGATAGAATTTGGTTATTACACTGCCAATAGTTAAATCCCCCCATTGAAGAAGTAATTTTAAAAATCTTATAATGTGGCATCATTTCTAAATATATAGCAAAGATTTCCATCTCTGATGGATGAGGAAGATGATAAATGCAAATAATAAAATCCTGGAATAATTTATTTCCATGTATTTCCATGGCTTGCAATAAATAATCATTAAAGCAGGGGTCTTCAAATTTCAAATGCTCAGCCAGCGTGCCTGAGGAATTCTGGGAGTTGAAGTTCACAAGTCATAAAAGGGACAAGTTTGAAGACCCCTGCACTAAAGCAAAGAGAATAGTAAGCTTTTCCCCCTACATTTATTTACTACATTTTACTGCTTTTACTGCATTTACTGCATTTGTTTATTTACTACATTTGTCAGCTTAGCACATAAACAGAATATGAACAGCAAGTATCATTCATTTATGTCTTGGATGTTTTGTGAGAAGTGGTAATGGAGATTTTTTTTTAAAAAAACAACAACCTTCAGCTCATTAAATGTTCTTCAAAAAACTTCAATAAGTCCTTTGAAGAACATTTAACGTATGAATGAAAAAGACTTTAAGTCTTCAAAGTATTTTCATGAGAAAGACTTTAACTTAATGTAAAGAAATATTTCCTGTCCCACAACCAGATATACTGAAAAGACAAAGAAGGTTTAAAATAGATAGAACATCTGCATTATGCTCAATACAGTTTTTAATTATATAAGAAATTCTAGGGGAACACATCTGAAGGGGAAAAAAACTTACAATGTTAAGGGATAAGGTTTTAGAGAAGGATGTTTCTTAAATTCAATTTCAATAAAGATGTAAAAAAATTGAGACACCATCCCACCAATGATGAGGTCACCAGGCTGGAACCACTCGTGTGGAACAGGGAAAGCATCACTTGAATGGCATCTCAGAGTAGCTACATTGTGCAGCAAGAAAAACAGAAGGACCAACATCTTCACTCTATTGTTATGGAGAGGAGGAAGAGAATCTCTGGAAATGAACCTTATAGATCAACCCCTTTGTGCCCTCATGTTATTCTAAAAGTATTTATACCATCTGATTTTCAATATGTGTTCCATTAAGCAGAGATGCTTTGATGTTTTCCCTACATGGATAATAGACTGATTTCAGATATTTATAAGGACTATAATTATCTCTGAAACATTGGCAACCTGGCAATTTTACTTTGTATAGCTGATCAGCATCTTTCTGTCTTTTGGGTCACTTAATAAGTGACTGATGGTTAAAATACTTGGAGAAGTAGAATTGGGAAGATATTTTGGAAGACTTTTCATATTTCTAAATTTCTTCAAGAAAAAAGTGTAAGTTGCAAACATTAAACAAAATGATTCATCTGCTCTTCTTAAGTGTCTAGATCAGGGGTGTCAAACTCGCAACATCACGTGACATGTCACGATATATCGTGACTTTTTTCCCATTGCTGGCAATGGGGTGGGCACGGTTTTGTTGTGATGCATCCAGCCCGCGGGCCGGCATTTTGACATCCCTGGTCTAGACTGACATACTGTATGGGCTCCATGCTACTTGAAACAATTGAGCCAAATTGTGCAGGGGTATAGTATTGTCTTCTATATTTCAACAGTTCCATGGTAAAGAATATCAATTGCTGTTGGTTCCCAATTATCTAAAAAGTTGTGCTTTCAAAGCTGACAGTAGGACATCTCCTTGTTCAATTGAGAAATATTCCTCAACTGCTGCTTTGGCTCCACACTCATTTCTCTATCAGTTCCACTTCTTCCTTCAAGGCATTTTCTTCAGCAGGAGAAATGATGTCCTTCAATATGGAAGAGGAAGTGAAAAGCCAGCTTGACATCCCCAACCTGCTCACTTTCCCTAATCGTATTTTCCAGGGGGTGAAAGTTGGAGGGTCTATAACAATTTGTTGCAGCCAACTTGCCATGGCCAAGTCACTATGGCCAAATAACCAAAGCCAACTTGCCATGGCCAACTCACTATGGCCAACTCATCATGGCCAACTCACCAAAGCCAACTTGCCATGGCCAACTCACTATGGCCAACTTACCAAAGCCAACTTGCCATTGCCAACTCTTTTAGGCATGTTGGCCCATTTCAAAACTTAGAGGGGTCAATTCCAAGGCTGTGGAAGAAAAGAACAAATCACGCTTAATGTAGATGCAATTGTGTGGAATGAAGTTTGAAACCAGATCCATAATGTAGGTTCCTTCTTTCAGGGGGTGGGAGACACAGGTCTGAAAATCATGAGAGTGTACAATTTTAGAGATGGAAATGACCATCAGGATTATCTACTCCAATCCACAGCTATGTGTAGAAAAGCTATTTAAATTACTCTGAGAAATGGCTGCCTTGCTTCTTTTTCAGAACCTGGAGATGGATAATCACATGTTTTATGGTGTCTTCTCCATTTCCTTTTAAACATAAATTCCAGTTCCAAAAATGCAATTTGGAAAACCCACCATTAGTACAGTTAATGGTGGGTATCCTGGTACTCCAAGATTCTACAGTGCTGAGAACATCTCCAAGGAGTCTCTATTAATTTTAACTTCAGATATTTTGTGTCTACCATCCCACCCAGTCATCTAGCAAAAAAAAAACAAAAAAAACTCCTGGCCCATTGTTTTACTAAGAGTATAGTTTACTAAAGCTTAGGTAGTTACAGAAGTAGCAAAGCTGGTTCTGACATTTTTGTGCTTAAATGAGGGAATTTCTATCAGTTAGGTTTATGAGTAAATATCTAATCAAAATCTTTTTAATTGGAGGTCTTGCCCCCTCTTTTTAACAATATCAATATCAATATCAAACTTTTCCAGACTTGTCCTCAGACTTCAAAAAAATATTTTTTAAATTGTATTCATTTGCTACGGAGCCTGCATAACATAATGTTCAGAGAAAATAATATTATTAATTCAACCTGGAAGGGGACTTGGGGCAGGAGAACATGTTTACTAGCAAGCCATTACTCTACCTTGACCTTGGATGATGCAATTAACTTCCCTGTAATTACTGAAAACAGTGCCATTTATTTTTCTTGGCCCTGTTTAGGTGACTTTTAAAGACTATGAAAAAGCAAGGACTGAATATGTGCACATGGTGATTTAAGAAAACCTCTTTAACATTGACACTAAAGAGGGGAACAAAGGTTCTACTCTGATAGGTTAATCAGCAACCTGCCCTTTTTGTCTCTTTCAAATCTCATCTTCAGTTTGCTTTCCTGAAGATGAGAAAAAGGCAACAATAAAATTGTTTCATTTGAATGATCTCTACTTAAAAGAGAAGAATCCTCAAGTTGGAAGAAAGCGTCATCTAATCCAGGGGTGTCAAACTCTCAATGTCACATGACATGTCACGACATATCGTGACTTTTCCCCCATTGCCAGCAATGGGATGGACACAGTTTCGGCATGACACATCCGGCCTGTGGGCCAGCAGTTTGACACCCCTGATCTAATCCAACCCACTTCATAAGAGTGGGTCTTTTGCACATCTCTGGCAGATCACCATTAATCTTTTGTTTAATGATCTTTGGCAAAGGAGTATTCACTACTTCCTGTTGAAGCCTTTTAATAAGACAGCATACATCATATGATTCCAGAGATGTACCTAAAGAGAGGAAGGAATGTCTGTCAAGATTCTTCTGTATCTTAAGCCTGTCTTTTGGAGTGTTGGCTATTCCTGCCAGCTTGGTGTCGTCTGCAAATTTGATGAGTTTCCCATGTATCCCCTCATCCAAATCGTTGATGAAGATGTTGAAGAGCACTGGGCCTAGAACAGAGCCCTGGGGCACCCACTACACACTTTCCTCCATGTAGATGCAGTTCCATTGAGGACCACGTGCTGAGTACGGCCGGTCAGCCAGCTACGAATCCATCTGGTGGTGATGCTGTCTAACCCACATTTTTCTATCTTATCAAGTAGAATGTTGTGGTTTACTTTATAAAATGCCTTACCGAAGTTCAAATAAATTATATCCACAGCATTCCTCTGGTCCACTAATTTTGTCACTAATTTTGTCAAAGAATGCAATAAGATTTATCTGGCATGATCTGTTTTTCACAAACCCATGTTGACTTTTTGTAATGACTTTGTTTGCCTCTAGGTGTTCACTGATTAGTTGTTTGATTATCTTTTCCAGAATCTTCCCAGGTATTGAGGTCAGGATGATAGGTCTATAGTTTCCTGGATCTATTTTTTCCCCTTTTTTGAAGCTCTTTTCAAGTCCTCTGGTAGTTCCCCAGTGCTCCAGGATCTTTTAAAAATATAGTTAAATGGTTCTGAGATCATATCTGCCAGTTCCTTGAGAACCTTGGGGTGTAAACCATCTGGTTCTGGTGATTTGAACTTAATTTTATAATAATAATAATAATAATAATAATAATAATAATAATAACAACAACAACAACAACAACAACAACAACAACAACAACAATAATAATAATAATAATAATAATAATAATAATAATAATAATAATAATAATAATAATAATAATAATAATAATAATAATAATAAAGTTGGAAGGGACCTTGGAGGTCATCTGGACTGGTGCTCACTTACCATTTTCTTGCCAATCTTAACTTGTGTTTCTAATCTTTTTTTTATGGTATTGTTTTTGATAGGTTAGACTGTTTTTTACCTTTGTGTAAAGACAGATGCAAAAAACAAGTTAAATTGTTCTGCTTTCTCTCTGTTGCTTGTCACCTTCTTGCCATTTTTCCCACTAATGGACCAATCATTCCCTTAACTTTTTCTTGTTTTTACATGTTTTACATATCTCTATATATCTCTATATATCTCTATATCTCTATCTCCATCCATCATCTATCTATCTATCTATCTATCTATCTATCTATCTATCTATCTATCTATCTATCTATCTATCTACCTATCCATATGCCATACATACATGCACCTGCATTTAATCAATATATCAAATCTCCTGAAAGCAACCAACCAAGAAAACCTAATTCCAAAGACTTTTTAGCTTGGGGTGTTGGAAAAGAGAAAGAGATGGGTTAAAGATTCTTGGAATGTGATTGAAAATACAGCAGCATTAGCACTTCTTTTGGATTGTGTAACCATAATAAATATTTTTAATAAGAATCTTCCTTAACATTTCCTTTGACAGAAATCAAAACTATACGTTTCCTATAAATTCATTTTTTTGGTCAGCAATTTTTCATAGTGAGAAAGATCACAGGATGTACTAAGTCCTCTTTATTAGCTGCTTTCTCTGGTTTAGCCCAGGTCTGAAAAAAATGATGTAACATTTTGGCAAGAATATGCATCCCAGTAATGCAGCCCCAGAGGACAAGATGGAGAAGACCTCCACAGCTACCATGACTTTTCCTTTTGTGCTCAGATAGGCTGGAAAAAAGGAGATCCACACACTGCAGAAGGCTAACATGCTGAAGGTGATGAACTTGGCTTCATTAAAACTGTCAGGTAATTTACGGGCAAGAAAAGCCACAACAAAGCTGGCGATGGCCAAGACACCCATGTAGCCCAAGACACAATAGAAAAAGAAAGCTGACCCCTCATTGCACTGTAAAATCATTTCTTGGAGCTCTGAATGCATGTCCAACTCAGAGAATGGTGGATATGTTGACAACCACAGAATACAAATATACACTTGTAAGAGAGAACAGGAAAGGACAGTACAAAAAGACAATCTTTTCCCCACCCATTTCCTCATCTGAGATCCTGGTTTAGAGGCCATGAAAGCAACAACTACAGTGATGGTTTTGGCCAGAACACTAGAAATGGCTACTGAGAAGGTGATGCCAAAAGTTGGTTGTCGGAGAAGGCAGGTCACCTTGCTAGGTTGGCTGAGGAAGAACAAAGAGGACATAAAACAGAGCTGAAGAGAGATAAGGAGGGTGTAGGTGAGGGACCGGTTGTTGGCCTTGACAATGGGAGTATCCCGGTGCTTAATAAAAGTTCCAAGTACCCAAGATGTCAAGAAGAAACAACAAAGAGCAGTCAAGGCTAAACAATTTCCTAAGGTTCCTTCAAAAGTTAGAAAGACCATCATTTTTAGGATACATCCTTTCTTTTCTTTATTTGGATAATGATCTTCTGAACATTCAAAACAGTCATCCATATCTGGAAGAAAAGTCAAGGAATTTGTCATCTATCCATTCCACATTTTTGAAAATATTCATCTGATGGGTGCCAGCTAACTATGGTTCTAGGATCATTTTTCTATGAAATTGCATTTTTTTTTCTCTATTGTATCTTTTAGGATTTGCATGCAAAAAGATCAATGGAAAACACAATTATTCTCTGAAATCAATATATTCCATTTGGACTTTTTCCATTTTTCCCCCAAAATTCTGATGATGAATATAAGGGAAGCAGAAATAATGACTCTGAGTGCAAATCAATATAATTCAGTTAAATTTCAATTTGATTCAGTTAAAATGTGAATAAGCTAGATAATGAAATCTATGATCCCTATGCTCTCTTCTGCCCTTTAGTGTTCTTTTATGATCTATGTGGAAAACATTGGTTCTACAAACCCCCACCCTATGTCCTTTTGAGGTTAATATATCTAATTCATTGACAAATCTTTCTTTGTTTGCTGAAACTTTTTTGCTTTCTCTTACTTAATAATAATAATAATAATAATAATAATAATAATAATAATAATAATAATAATAATAATAATAATAATAATAATA